GCTCGATCGATTTCGTTCACTTTGATGTCCAGTTGATACAGCTTCGATCGATTGAAAATGTCACCCCATGTTTGCCGAAGGCGGTACATGGCTGCTCGCACAACTTCATCACCCTGGAACTATATGTGGTATTAACGAAAGGCAAACCCTCGACTAAACACAATCGAAGCATACCTCTAGAAAGACATGAATGAAGACCCGTACGACTATTTTCGCAAAAAGATCCTTGTAATCACTATTGGGTATGTTCTTCATTATTGAATCGGCAACATACAATATCGGTAACTTTTGAGCTTTTGGCACCTAAATAAGGTATAATAATGTTCACAGATCTCATGGATGAACTATTTCGATCACAATCATTCCATAATACTCTTGAATCTTATCTAACAAGTAATTAACTTCGGGAAACTACAACTACTACTCCATCAAAAACTTACTGTATAAATTTGCTTTTCTATGGTTTCTACTATAGAGGCTGCATGTTGTTGATAATCCTCGGCCAGAATTGTTAAAAGATTGATTTGTGTTTTATTGTTGTTCACTAATTCATCGAGCGTTAACCTGAAACCATTTCAATATAAGCATATTTGAAGAGAACATCTTGCGCTAAGTAGCTCTTTTTTCTTTATTACTCTATAAAGTGGAACGTCTGTAGCAAAAAAAGCTCCCCAGTATTTTGTCGAGAATTTCTATGTAACTGAAACTGGACTTCTTGAAACCGGTTCCCAAACTTACAGGAGAATCACCCTTTCGTTTTGACTGTAAAACCTTCTCTTGTTTGAGTGTATGCATAAAAACCGAATTAGTCACATATCAGCTGCTCACAAAATCATAGAAGTCTTTGATTTCGATCACTCTGGGTTTTTTTCTGATCATCTGAACCATTTCGTTTGGTCTAGTGTGAAGCCCGAGTTCACAGGTTTTTAGAGGAAAAGGTCAACGCTGGTGCAATGCTATAGAGACGCGTGAATTGTGTTCAGGAAACCGGAACCATGGCGAGGTATTGATCGGCAAATTCGTCATTCAATGTGTCTAACCAAGTCTTTTTTCCCAATTTCGAAAAAGAATTTGTCAATGTGGTTACATGTGTTTGAACAACTTACTCAACATCTCCGCCCCCATATAAATGTAAAAGGAATTGACTGACGTATCAGGGCTAAATTATTTGCTTAGAAACGACGTAATACGATGCCCATGAGCATTATGCCCGTTTTTAATATCAGATAATGCAAACAGCAGAAGTGCAAGACAGAAGAAACTCGTATCAGGGGAATTTGCATACCAACGGGCATAAGCTGAAGAGTATTGCTAGACACCATCATTAACCCTTTGACGACAATGCGGATTTCGACGTGACGCGCCCATGAGGCCACGCTCCCCTCCTTTAGCGTGCGACTGGCACCCACCGGTGGGTGGATCTGCCCCGGAGAAAATCCTTTCATTGGCTTACTGAATTTAGCACTTGGTAAGAAACAAGTAAGTATGATGGCACCCAAAATTGGGTGCAATGGTCCCATGCGCCAGTCATAGTGGCACCCAGCAGTGGGCGCCATTTTCGTCAAAGGGTTGATCTGACCTCGGGTTCCACCCAATCTCTCCGTTCCAACCTAAAATGGGCCATCTAGACTTATGTATTACGAAATCAACTAATTCACAGCATCCGCTTTCTGTCTGTAAAGGTTTATGAATCACTTTGTATCATATTCTTTTTTTACCCTGTATCATATTCTTTTTTTAACCCTCTATAATTGTATTTTCGTAGTCATTCATCGCAAAACCTACTTATACTCCTTGGCGGCTTCTTTGGCTGAAGACATAGCAACAGGATAAAAACTGATTCACAATATCACAAACTTCAGCGACAGTGTACCCGATCACTACTGCGCAAATATCAAAATCTGAAAATCAAGTGAACTATCCTTCTGATTAAATACACCATACAACATACTAAAAAGCGCTGAGCCACGACAAAAACGATTAAGCAAACGAAGGCTAAACAGAGAATGCACTGTGCCAACACTCTTCTTGGCTGCAATGATGATTTCAATGGCAAGATACTGTAACTATGAATGACAAATCTCATTAGTTTAGGCGACACTGACAGCTGTAAACTGGTCTCCAGTTGTTTCATCTTCCTCGTGATCCGCGATAGCACTGCCAGAATCAGTTACAAAAACGGCTAACTGGCATATCGATTTCGTAGGAAGATTCATGATCACAGATTACAACGAATATCAATTAGCTCACAGTCTGTTTAACTAATATCGTATCAAGCAAAAAGGTGTTCCCCAACTGATCACTGTATGTGAGGGAACAAAGGGAAACTCTCCCCCGTAAAATCATTCCGTTCGTCCCCATCACACCAACCACTCGCCAAACCGGCTTCCCCGATCTTACGGGAGGCTCAATGAGTGTGTTACACTGCGTGAACACACGATTGGTTACTATCGTGTGCTTCAAAATCGGACATGCCAAGATCCCGCCTCTGACATAGGTATCCTTCGATAACAACTGCAGGTCACCTGAAAACGAGCAGAACTTCCGTTCCAGATTAATCATGACCGTCTAAGCATCACAGCTTCAACTTCAACGCATTGAATAAATCGTTTTAGCTNCCATCTGGAGGAGCCGATGTGCGACCCCTGTTTTCGAAAGCGAAAAGTCGCACACAACAAGACTTATGCACAATGGATCGATCAGTAGTTTTTCTATCTCTTAAGCATTCAAACACATCTATCACCGCTTAGCAGCTATCGCCGACCTACTCAGCAATATACAGGATAGAGCTTTACAAAAGCATATCACTGACGGATGCCTCGTCTCTCTGAACACACTTTTATAAGTCTGCAATACAGATAAGAATTTACTACCGTATGCCCCGCACGCTCCACATCGACGCTTTGGCAATACCACACACGAAGAATATTTCGACCGATAATCATCCAGAATTGAACATGAATATCACACAAACAAGACTTCGTTGCCTGTTGCGATACATAATTAACCGCAACATAATTGCGCCACATACTGACGTTATTTTGTCATTAGCCATTGCGTTTATAGTGGAGCACGGTAGTAACCACATAATGCAATTTCGAATGAACCGTTAGCCTACTGTACGAATTCATGAATTGACTGCACGGAAGCGGACGAATCCTGAGAGAGAGAGAGAGTTGAGAACTGGCTTAGGGAACGTAGCAATCCGCGATCATCACATTGCACCTGTTACTGTCCTGTTCTGTGTGAAACAATGTTAGAACAGGCTTTCGAGTTACTAATAACCAGTCAAAAAAAATTGCATAAACCCTTTCATCTGAAATCTGATAAAAAGAACTAATGATCTATGCACTGATAGCTTTTGCATAACTTAGGTTGAAAAAAAAGGTATTTGCTTCATAAACCATCGCAAACGGGTGGTCCGGTAGAGAGTGAAACCAAGCCAAGTACAATGTTTGAACATAAGTCATACATAACTGGTGAACAAATGAGATTCATCATTCACCTTTAACAATCAGAACAACTGAAATGTGTCTACCTCTTTAGAACCCGAAATTGTATCTAGCAATAGCTATTACACTTTATGCGAAAGATAAACAGTACACATAATCTAACTCTAAGAATAACTTGAACCCGTTCAATAAAGCGAAGAGAAGACGTCGCATTCACCAGAGTCGAAGACCTCGGTTCCACTTGTTGCGTCAGCACGTCCTATCCTAGAACGGTGACATCACACAGGATATCATCAACTAAAGATCAGTATATTTAATTGTTGAAGCATAAATTGCAATAGCCTATCAAGCGAACAGCTAAAGAAGCACATTTAACTGAAACACAGGTTGTAGGAGAGCAAGAAATCTGCAGGAAAGCTCGGTGCTATACTGGTTTGTAGAGAACAGGTAGAAATGTGAACAGGCGCAATTCTTTCAATAGCATATCCATCTCTAACTTCGGAAGTGCAAAACAATATCCTGTCAGGCAATTTAGGGGTATATATGAATTGGACCTTTTCTCAGCCTATCTCTCAACATTGAGCCCCATTTACTGCTCACACCTCTTCCAAACTCCAAACCATTATAGCACCCAAACCTACTAGCGACAAAACGAAAAGTATAAAACACGAAGTTGTTCAATATCACAAGAAACGAAAGGTAAAACTGCATAAAATCCCTTAGGAACTGACGAGGGCGATCACGAAGCGCAAATACGAAAACGAGGCCGCCGACTGTGACGCACCGCCTGCTGCGACACCCGGGAACCGATCAATAGGTAGACCTGCACATCTAATTCGTTTACGGTAGTGTTTGGCACTTGGACATAATTCAAACGGCCGCTGGCAATCGATTTGAGATTCGGATTCGTCGCTTTCTAAACATCTAAGCCGTTTTTTTATTTATTGGCATTATGCAGCAGCAAAGAGGAGTGGGAGCGCCTGGCCAGCCATTAGGACGATATCCGCCTCAGGTAAGTCAGCTCGGAATTTGTGCCTATGTTCGTCGGTGTTGCTATATAGGTTCACATATTTAGCAAATATTTTACAAGCTTTGATGCTTTTTGTGTTACTTGCAGGAAATTGTTTCCTTGAGAAAATGAAATTTCAGCCAGGAGCCACGCCGCAATCGGCTATGAGACGACCCGGCGGTCCTCAAATGCCTTCTCAGGGTCCACAACTGCAAGCCAACAGGGTCTCACAACCTCTTCGTAAAAAGAAAAGATATGCCGACAAACTTATTTCACCGCAGGTGAGAAATGTATATAGCGCTTTTCATGGTAAATGGTATGCGGACTTGGGTTAGGATGAATGTCATATGCAATGGGTTAACTTCCGTTAAACCAGAGCTGGAAACGCAAAATTATTGGAATGTTTCCTTGCTTGCCCCAATCCGTGTCCCTCTAATCAGTAGCAATCCAGAACGGCGAGTTTGTTTGGAAGTTTGGAGAACGGAAATGAAGCAATATAGAGGTATGAGGAACGGAATGGGTTAAGTTCATGAAGTACTTTCCCTTCAAGCNTGGTCGTCGAACTGGACTTGCCGGACTCGACCATTTCACTTTTCTATAACTTAAATATATTTTGCCCTTTGTTTTTAATCGAACTTTTTCTATACTTTCGTTTTTGCGTTCATTTTATTTTTCCTATGAAATTTGTTATTCCTCATTTTGATCAGAGCAAAGTTTCTCGTGAAAACCGCTGAGGCGAAGTAAAAGAAGTTTTGATTGTAACAGTTTTGCCAATGTTTTACTAGAATAAGCCGAACAATGATATATTCAATGAAATTGTTAAATTCACGGTGGCATCAGCGTTCTTCAGTCTCCCACAACTTTAAGGAAGGTTTACTGTCGAGATATGAGCAAGTATTATGCCTTATAGGTGAGAGAGCTCGTTCCGGAATCTCAAGCTTACATGGACCTACTTGCTTTCGAGCAGAAACTTGACGCTACAATAACAAGAAAGAAGCTTGACATCCAGGTACAAACTTTTTCGAAGCTTGTTTTTATAACTACTCCGTTTCCTTAAATTCGAAATGAATTATGCGTTCGAGAGGTTTCTGTTGGTAATCAAGCGTGAAAATTTGTTCTGGGTTAGAACGCTTAGTAGGCGCGTTCTGGACACAGAAGTTTATGCATCTGGCGTTCCCCAAATTCACCAAAAAAANAAAAAAATTGCATGCTGAGAACGCATGTACATGACGTTGTGTCAGGGGCATTAATATTCGCGTGCTGTACCCCATGCCATTGTCTATTACTGTAGATCATCCTACTGGCTATTCTTTGTCAAATGAATTTGGTAATTGTTCCCAGAAGCTCGTCTTATTTTCTCGAGACAGAGTTTTGTCTAAATTGAGACTTGAATATAGAAAAAAACGAAGCGGTAGAATGATGGCTAGAATAAACATTTTTCCGATTTACGGACCAACTTTTCAGTCAGGAGGTTTACTTTATATCCATGGACCTATTGCAGCAAATAATCGATAGAACTGGTTTCTAAATGTACTTTTAATATATCAGAAACCTGCTAACTGTTTGCATCTTTTTGCACCCTATTATAGAGCAAGCGAGACCCATAGAAAAAGTTTCTAGCGCAAATTTCCACTTCAGCGGACATGAAACTGTCCTGGCTTTCCATGAAGTGTCTATTGACCATTGAAGTTGCTATTTAAATGTCGCTATTCAAAGTTTACCGAGCTCATCAGGAATGAGAATAATGCGTAAGGACTAGAAGCGCCATGAGTCTGCGGATGGCTGTATCCATAAGGCAAGCACTGCAACGTAGGCGTTGTGCTGGTATGCTCAAATAAGAAAACGCCATGCGTTGTGCATGCGTGGGCATGATCAGCTGTTTGCATCTTTTTGCCTCCCATCATTGGAATTAGCGTTAACTGTAGGAAAAGGTTCCAGCACAAATTTCCACTTCAGTGGATTAGGAAGTTTTCTGGCTTTCCAGGAAGTGCATAATGGCAGTTGAAGTTAGCATTCGAAACCGAATCCATTCATGAACTAAAATTCACCGAGGTTCCAAGAATGGGAATAATATGTAAAGACCAGATGCGCCATTATCTTGCGCAATCTCCAGCTGTAGAGAACATTGGAATTTGCGCTCTCACATAGCCCTTTCTTTACAAATTTCTGAAAGCGTATTTGTCTGTTTTGTACCTGTTTTTGGTTTCTTTCTGCCTTACATGGAGAGCTCAAGTTAACATCTGAAAGGAAACCAGAAAAATTGATAGAATGCTTTCCCAAAAGACGTAGTTATAGAGCAATGTAGCCAAGATTACCTACTAGTGTCAATGCGTCGACACTGGACGAAAACTGTTTGCGAAGGGTAGCAGAACGGAGCAGAACCTCGCATCAGAAAAAAATGGTGGAGTAATTGCTGCAGTGTTGTGAAATTCGGTTTCTTTTGTGAAGCTCAGTATTGACTACGCAAAGCACATCTATTCATGCATGAATTCTATGAATTTGTTTTCCGGCTAGAAAGCGACACCGGCGCAAACTATGAGCACTGTCCAGTCTCTATTTGGTTCTTAATCAGATGGAGTCACTTCCGAGTGAGGAATGCATGTTTCTCCATCTAACGAATTTCAAACAGGTAATATTGTGGCGATCGTAAATTTGAAGTCGTCACTGTCCCTCTTGAACTTGCGATCAGACATGCTTGATGACTCTGCATTTGGTAAAACTATTGATTCGTACTATTCACTTATCAACGCTTCAAGACCCGCGTTTTCTGCAAAAACTTTCCCTCTGAAGTCGTTGATTCGATGTCCCTCCGAGGAATTTAATTCTAATAGCTACATTCTTGTATCAAATTCAAGAAATGTAACTGCAGAATGAAAATATGACTACGGTGGGCAGCATACGATTTATAATCTTGTTATACATCAACGAGCATTGTATGAACCATTTCCGTCACCGTGCTTGTTCACATGGTTGCCCTTTACCGACTATTATGTCAAGCGAACTGAAACTCTTCCGGTAAGGAAGCTTGTTGATTATGAATTCAGAGAAAATTCAACGATATTTTTGTTAACGTCGTGCGGAACTCTCTTTCTAGAGGGTGAATCCATTAGCCTCTCACTAACCTCGCGGTTGAAGAAAGCCTTCGACAAACAGCATGACCTGGTTTATAGATTGACGAGTTTTTTTCCTACGCGGAAAGAAGAAGCAATACTATATTGCAATCTTTAACGTCTCGCTTGATAGGAAAAACGGTAAAACGGGTGACGGTAAGCTAAACAACAAGCGTCTAGTATGCTAATTGCTCCAGTATCTAGGAAGGGACTTAATGTGGCGAAGAACTTGTCTATAGAAGTGAAAGCGAATATGGGTTAAAATACGCATGAGGTTTGCCTCTTTGAAAATAGGCAGAACGTCCCTTGGACCTCTGCAGTGANGAAGATTGCTGGTCTGCAGCTGCATCATCTACGCTTCTCTTCGTTCTCACAGCGTTGAGCAACATGTCATCGGTGCGGATACGGGGCGATCTCGGCTTTGCGCGCGGATCAGTTTGCAGTGAATCCCACAGAGAACGGTTTACGAGAAACTGGAAGAGTGGGACCTTTCACTAATCCATCTGTGCCTGACCTTCGACAAGCGGGGTCTATGATGGAAAAGATGGTCGGAAGGACAATGCGGTCGGGCATGTATCGCTTCTGAAGGTTCGCTTTTGATAGTATGGGTCAGTGAAACGGTGTGAGACCCTACCCGAAGCTATTGACTCAGTTGAGAATACGATACGATGTCGTATTCGGTCTCAAGTGCTTTTGAAAGAGCCTTCAAACTTGATCCAGATGTGGGACGTTGTGTTCAGAAAAGAGAAAAAATTCAGTATCAACAATGAATGCATTAAGTTGAACTCAAGTTCGCAAAACAAAAACATTTTTGCGTCTTTGTTAGATTTCCTTCTCACAGGCATCAACCCTTCAACGTTGCGTTTAGAGGTTTTCCGAAA